GTGCTTAACATTAACAGTATAAAATGGAAAACGGAAAAATAAGAGCTATATACTTTGAAAAATGTTAAACAACAAATCCATATTTACCTGCTCATTCTTGGAAAAAAGCCTATCTGTGAGAGTAAAGGTCAGGAATGTCCAGTATACATAGTCATCAGGGTAATTTATTTTGCAGGAGCCAACTTTCTGACAGGAAAGGAGAAACGTGTGACATCCCACACTGAGTTATTCATGGGTCAGATAAAAGGATTTGGGTAAAGTCTGTGCATAATGCTCTAACATGTTTGTTGTTCTCTACCCCTCACACTCAGGCCCTTCTGTGAGAGATTGAGGACATTAGCTACGCTCTTATTAATAGGCCCCTCGACCCAGTCTTGGCTACTGTTCCCATCCCTCTTCCATACTTTTTGGAGATATCATTCTTTATCCTGGAACTTCACTGCATGTTCATAAAGTCTGAACTTCTTGCCGTACCCAAGACTTGTACCATCTGACCACTAAATTCCTTTTTGACATCTCTGCCTACCCCCCCTCTTGTCTCTAGCCCTGGAATCACTTGCATTTGCCTGCATGTCCTATGCTTTATTATGCTTTCAGTCAATATAGTGTGGATTACCTCACAGCTACATGCAAGGCATGTTGGAGGCAATTTTCATGCATCTGCCCATGCTGTTCCCAGTGAGTGGAATGTCCCACCCAAAATCTGTCCCTTAGAAAATACATATATTTAAAATCTCTGTACCCAGTCTATTATTTTTGCTTTACCAATTAAAACCAACCACTTCTTTGTCTATACCTTCAATCAGCTCTATTCAGATGCCAATCATTGAAAGTCTTAATACACCTGTATCTATTGGGTTAGACCATAAACCTCAAGGAAGAGGCCCATGTATCATTCATCTTTTCATCCTTGACACTTGCCTTGTACCTGACACTTGCATTAACTCCTCTTAGACCCAGCTCATCCTATTCAGCCTTCATCTATGACAAAGAACATAATGAGCAGTGAAAAACTTTATCAAACACGAACTGATTATCATTTCACAAGTTAGGAGATTTAAGGGAGCTGCAAGATCATAAAGATGACTCTTAACTGATGAAGTCCTGAGACATTCACAAACTCCCTCAAGGTAGGAGACCTATTAATGTCTCAGGGTTTCTTCCATAGGCAACAATCAGGAAAATATGCCTTTCTACCTACATTGTTAAGCAATTAACCAAATGAGCACAATAAAACAAAAACTCTTGTTTTTTCCCAAGAAGTTAAAAAATTCTAGCATTGTGGAACATTCAGTAAATAAAACCTTCCTTCCACCTCCTTCTTCCCAATAGTAGTAAGAACCACTATTGTGGTAGGATCACCTAATTTCTCAGTTTAATGCCAGCATTGCCTCCTTCAGATAGATTTCTCCGATCCTTCAGGCAGACTTAACTGCTTCTTTTCCTGTATTCTCATAGGATATCTTCATACCATTATAACTAGTTAAAAGATAATATTAATTCTAGCCATGACATTGCAACAGGTCAGTGCCTGGCACATAAAGAGCACTGGAATGAATGAAGAATTGAGCCTTGCTTTAATGATATGAAGTGAGAAAAAAACTAATGATACTAATTCCAGACTTAAGAACTTCCTTGGCATATAATGAGGAGTAATTATTTTTGAACACAGATTTAATTATTTTTAAATTTTTATTTATTGTCATTTCATTTGAAAGGGAGAGAGAGCTTCATCTGCTGCTTCACTCCCCAAATGCCTATACCATGATTGGGCCAGCCCAAAGCCAGGAGACCCCATCCACATCTCCTACTTGGGTGGCAGGGAGCCAATGATGTACCTGAGACACCACCTGCTGCGTTCCAGGGTGCACATCAGCAGGACGCTGGGTCTGAAGTAGAGTACCCAGGACTGAAACCTGGCACTCCAGTATGGGAGGTGCACGTCCCAAGTGGTATCTTAATTGCTGTGCCAAAGCTCGTCCCACAGATTTAGTTTCAAACAGTGGACTTTGCAGCCTGCAATACTAAAGTTTGTGAAAAGGTATTAATTATTTATGACAACACTATATTTTCAAGACTGGATTCAGTTAAATAGTTGCTATGAGGGTAGTAAGTGAAAAACCATTAGTATAATGGTTCTCATATATATATGTATATGTATTGAAGTGGTTAGAATAGACCCTAGAACACCTGTATTGTATGATATTGGCACAGTGTTTTAATCATTTAAGACATTTAAATAACTAAACATGTAGGTTGAATAATACACATCAAGTTTAATGACCATGATGTTCTAACTGCATTTGTTGTAGGAACGTTAGGGATGATAATGCCCTTCAGATAAACTGAAGTCTGCTCTTTACTTTGCTCTGATTGGATCACTGGCTCCACCCTTCCCATATCACTTATAGTATGTTTCATTATTTTGTGATTCTTGATAGTTAATAAAGCACTTTAAAAAATACCTAAAATGCAAATCTAGGTTGTGGCTTAATTTTAGAACCCGGTAATTCTACAAAAGTACTGGAATGCTTGTTTTAACGTTGCTATATTTCAACACATAACAATCTCACAGGAAAACAAATTTACATTCCTAGCAGTATTAAGCCTCTTAAAAATAATTCAAACCATAATTTCGTTTGGTCCTGCTTATCTGGATTTTATATACTGCTGTGGCATCTTTTTAAGAACATAACAATACTTAGAAATAGAGAAAACTGACCAGAAAACCATTACAAGGGCTTTTTAAAAAGTTAGATGGTATATTAGTAAATGATTTACAAGAATAACCCAACCTGTGACATATACAAAGAATGTTCAAAAAGTTCATGGAAAATACATATTAAGAAAAAACTACACATGAATTTCAAAATTTTATTGCACCATATAAACTTTTCATTCTGTTTTTCCAGGAACTTTTTGAAGTACCCTCATATGATAGTTACACTATAGATTCAAGGGTTCTATAATAACCGTGCCAATATGATAATAAAGCAATCAAGTATAAACACAATCTGTACCTTAATCTGTAAGTATGTGGATAGCTGCATATTTATTTGTCATATACCACATACCAAACGCCCCACTTACTTTAGTCCTATATCCATGTTCCTCTCAGCATGATTTAAAGTAGCCACAGGGGTACATAAAAGGGGAAAATTAATCAATGCCAGACTTCCAAGTAAAGAGATACAACTCAAATTGCTCAGATGATGTTTTAGTAGCTATTTCTTAAAGAAACACAGATTTTAACATGTTTGAATCAGTTTTTTTTTTCATTAAACTTTAGCTTTGCCAATACTGGTTTCAAGTAATAACAATAAAATATTCTTAACATACTCAGGATTATATATAATACATGAAAAAATAGATTGTGGGTTTGAGTTGTTGCTTTTGGCCAGTCATCGAGTATGTTTCCACCTGAATGAGGGGAATTCCTTCAGTTTCATGTACTTTTATCAATGAAACAAATTTACAGTGAAGTTAATGATCCCAGTTTGTAAGTCTTCCAATCTGCAGATTCAGGCTTGAATAAAACAAGATTACAGGAGGAAAAAAAGTAATGCAAATACGCTGTGCAGCCATCAGCTTAAGGGCTGGATTTCTCGTGCTGCTGGGTTCCATCACAAGCTGTTAGGTTTCCAAGGTTTGGCGGCCCTTGAAAATGGAACTGCCTCGGAAGATCCAGAAAGCCTTTGTTCTTGGCTTACACAGTAAGCACTTTGCGTGATTCTTAAGTCACAATTTTATCCAGAACACAGTGTTACAGGTCACATTTTTCTCAACAGTGCTCATACTGATTTGTGGACTATAAATATAAACCTATTTACACACAGAACACACACAGTTGACGTGGGGAAAGGAAGTCAGCCAACCATCCATAGGCAGAATGGAATAAAGATTGCAGGGAGAGTGGTATAGGATGCCAGGCCCATCCACACTATAGATGCCAGTCCCAAGATTGCTGAGGCAAGAACGCTCCTCTGATCACGAATGATTATCTTCACGGTCTCACAAAACTGGAAAATAAGATACAAGGATACAAGAATATTAGGAAAGAGAGATAAACCTGAAAAGAATCACATATACCAAAAGGTAAAGCATCTGCCCAGCTGTTTTCTATCTACCTGAAGAACCAGCGTTCCCTTGTGACTGAGGGAAAAATTGAAGAGTTAACGGTCCGGTTTCCTGCAGTAGCTGAAATGATGCTGGAGGCTTTTATAAATTCAGAATCGTATAGACTACAGAGAATGTGATAAATGTGATCACGTAAAAGGCATTCAAGACCAACTGTTAAAGACACATTTAACTACCTATCAATAACAGTAGCATATTCTAAAATTAGATAAGCAAATATGTCACTGATCTTGAGTAAAAGGAATAGAAGTTAGCCTCTTATTGTAAATTCAGTACTTCCAATTCCCCATTCTAAAATCTGGTGATGCTAATGATAACTTTCTTTTTTTTTTTTTTTTAAAGATTTATTCACTTATTTGAAAGTTAGAGTTATACAGAGAGAGGAGAAGCAAAGAGAGAGAGAGATCTTCCATCTGCTGATTCACTCTCCAGATGGCCACAATGGCCGGAGCTGCGCCAATCCAAAGTCAGGAGCCAGGAGCTTCCTCCAGGTCTCCCACGCGGGTGCAGGGGCCCAAGCACTTGGGCCATCCTCCACTGCTTTCCCAGGCCATATCAGAGAGCTGGATTGGAAGTGGAGCAGCCGGGTCTCAAACCGGCACCCATATGGGATGCCAGCACTTCAGGCCAGGGCATTAACCCGCTGCGCCACAGCGCTGGCCCCTAATGATAACTTTCTTAAAAAGTCCTGAAATCTAAAGTCAAAGAAATTCTAACTGTATCATATCCCATTCCCTGGCTAAATGAATTACAGTCACCATCAATTATGTGTTACATAATTGGCTGCTGGGAATAAAGACAAATAAAATATAGTCCCTACCCCTGAGGGATGCATTCTTCTAATGAGTGATTTTTTTTCTTAGAAAAATAACTCCTGTGGAAGTGATGGTCCTGTGTTTGAGTGTCCCGACTCTGCCTTTCAGTGGCTGTTTGACTCAGGTCAGTCGCTTAGCCTGTCCAGGACCATGGGACTGCTGGGGTAGTTGTAAGGGTCAGATGAGATCCTTTATGCAGAAGTCCTCTGTATTCTTCTACATGCTATATAAAGGTAAGTTATTACAATGATTATTACTCTTTTCATCTGTGGACAGTATCTCTACTTAGCCCTTGTCAGTGCCAGAATTTCACAATTGCCACTTTTAACTGAGTTTTGCCATTCATACTAGATTTAGGCTCCTTTGTTAGACATGGCATTTTGTATATGTTTTGAGGAACTCTTAGATTTAGCTTTCCATTTTTTTTTTCCATTAATTGTCTTAATTTGAGAGCCAGAGAGAGAGAGGAAAAAAAAGAGAGAGTTTCCATCATAGGTTCATTCTTCAAATACCTGCAATGGCCAGGACTGGACTGAGACAGGACCAGGCCAGACTGTGAGACAGAAACTCAATCCAGGTCTGCCACATGGGTGGCAAGAACACAATGACTTGAGCTGTCACCTCTGCCTGCCAGAGTCTAGCCTGGCCTGAAACTGGAGTCAGGAACTAGAGCTGGAAGTCCAGCCCAGGCATTCCAGTGTGGAACGCATGCATCTGAACTGCTAGGCTAAACGCCACCCTGGTTTCCAAACTCTTAATAGACAGAATCAGCAAGTTCAGTACAGTCCTGGGTCACTACGGGATGGGGATACATTCTGAGGAATGCGTTATTAGGTGATCTCATGGTTTGCAAACATCAGCGTGTACTTACACAGACTAAGACTACAGTATCTCTAGGTGATACAGTCTTATGGCACCACCATTTTATATGTGGTTTGAAATGTGGTTATGTGTATTTTAATTCTCTATTTTGAATATAAGGTTGTTCCTAGTCATACTGTTACACAATGTGTAGACAAGTTTGAAAAACCCTATTATCCACATGTTGGTTCCTTTTTATCCCACACATTTGATTTTCTCTTTTTGCTACTCTTTGTGAACTGAGTGACAAATATATTACCTTAAAGCAATGTAGATCAAACTGAATAAAGTTTTCAGGACAGTGAGAAGAGACACTAGGAAAATAATGGAAGGTATATATTTATGCAAGCAAGTGACTTGTCTTGATATGGTTATACTTGTTTTCTTGTCCCCAGTAATTTTTGTGAGTAAGCAAGCAGAAATCACTGTGGATACTCTTTCTTCCCAAAACAGATTTTCTCCTGGAGCACCTAATTTCTAATATCCTATTCTTGTTGGCTTGCCATCAGCCCACAGGGCATCTGTAGTGGTGCTCAACAGTGAGAAATTTCTAGAAGGCATCAAGAAAACTATAGGGGCACTCTTTTGAGCATGAGTCCCCAGTAAATAAAGGGGCATTTGCATTCGTTTTAGCAATGAACAAGCAGTATTATCAAAGTACAGGGAAAAAATTCATAGAGAAAAACCTCAAGGAATAGTGTTAGTTATCAACTAGAGGGATTTATAGTTAAGATACTGATTGTCAATAGCAATACAAAAAATACCCTTAATTCTATGATTTCTAAAGTTGTTACAGCATTACCACAAAGAAGTAGAAGATTTTTTTCCTAGTTCATTTTCAAATTAACTGCAGTGTTGTAATGAGAAGGATTTTTCAGAGTTTTTACACAAATTTAAGAAACAGTTTTGCAGTGCTCATGTTAACTTGATAATGGCTGTGTTATCTACAGAGAACTCAACAATGAGACCCAGAATCCAATAGTTCCTTACCTATCTAAAACGTAGAAACCAATCCTCCTGCAGTATTAATGACCTTCCTCTCTCAGGGCATGTTCAATAAACACTTCTTAGAACTAGAAAATTTGGGATGAGAATTTTCCCGGGAAATCCACTCTGCAGCCAAATTGTTTGTTAGACCATTCAAAGTGAAGACAAAAACTCAGTTTCACAAGAGGTGCTACTCAGCAACAGCAATTAAAACACTTCTGTGAAACCTAACCAAGTTCCCAAAGATGAGAAACTACTCCAACTAGTTATTCATGCAGATTAAATATTTCAGTACCTTTAGAAAGCACTTGTACTATTTTTCTATAAAGATATATAATACAGTGCTATATGTGTTCCATGAAAGCATACCTCCTAATTACTGGACAGAAATACTGTTTTTCCTTGGAGAAATGATTTGCTTGGTTCTTAAGTAAATCTGACGTGTTTCCTTTTGTACACTTTCAGAGCCAGTGTTTGTAAATGTGGAGAAATTCACTTCTAAACAGGCCTGGGCTGGAGCTCTGGTTCTTAGCCCTTGCACAGTGCTGTAACTGTATTTTTATTTTACTTGGAAAAGAATTCCTAGATTGAGTCTGTTGTGGTTCTATAAAAAGCTACAAGGAATTTCATATACCAGTGTGTGAAAGTGTAATACTTCCATGCTCTGCCACGGGGGAGAGAGAAAGATTTTCCCATATGGGCCAAAAATTTAATCAAGAAGTAGAGCAATCAGAAATGGTTACATGGACTCAGATTCTTTTGGTCCAAAAAAAAAAAAAAATCATCTAAACAGGAAGAGTAGCAGTAAAGCTTAATGGGTGATGACCCAGGCTTCCCTTATGAAAAGTGAGCATTAACAGTATTTTTAAAAACTTTAGGGATGCCTGAGCACATTCCCAATTGCAAATGCAGTTGCAGACTTAAAATATTCACCATCTTGAGAAATTATGAGGTTATGAAAAGAAATAAAAATCTATCTTTCCCCCATTGGATTAGTAGTTTGCTTTAATGATCTTAAATTCCGTTTATTTCTTTTTCCCCTATTACACATAAACATTTAACAGCTCTTCTTGAAAAATCAGTTGTTTTGATCCCTGGAAATTTATGAACTTCTGACTTACCTTCAGGGCTGATGAGTAAAGGATGCCTAACTAGGAGGAAGGACTGATGGAGATGGAAGGCAGCACAGGAAGCACGCAGAATACCAAGACAGAAACATTTCCACACAGCCCCGGGGGCATGCGATCTAACCGGGAGGTCCTCTTACAGGGAATTTTGATGGTTTATTGAAGCACAGGGAATTCACTCTGTGCAGCTCACAGAGGGAAAAAATGGCATGCTTTCTTATTTTAAAGGCACAGAATTTAGTTGTACCTGGTGGTATGGATTCAATATAAACCCTAAATACCTTCCTTTCCAGTTGCAATTCTTGGGAGACGTTGCAAGCACAGGGTGACAGATTGTTGTGGTCGGTTCCCCCCCACCTTTCCAGTCACCTGCTCTTTGTCATTTGAACTAAGTGGTGAGCGGGTGCAGTGACAGCTGGGCAGCTGTGTGGAATGTGGTAGCGATCCTGCATCGCCACCTTTGCATTTCCAGACATCTTGTAAGGAACATCGCCCCTTACTTTGTCTCCCTTGGAAACTCCAGAGCTTCCCTTCCTCAGTCTACAATTATTTTAAGAAGTGATGGGAGAGATGTCCAAGAAAAAGACGCGTCTACTAGGGAAAGGGTGGAGGAAAGGAGAGGGCATCCCCACGCAGCCCAGCGCCGGGCGAGGCGCGCGCCCTACCTTGTCAGCCTGCGGGCTGATCGGGGTGCCGTATCTACAGTAGGTCACGAAGTGCTCGCAGTTGTTCCACAGCAGGCTGTAGGTGGTGATGCCCAGCAGCTTCTCAGCCCTCCGCGCCACCTCCTCGTTGAACAGCGCCTTTTTATTAAGGGACTCGTCCAGGTGATTGACCAGGATGTGGGCTCCGTAGGCGAAGTCCTCCACTGTGTCCACGCGGATGCTGGCCACCCTGGCAATGACGCCCAGGATGAGGCGCTTGTTGGAGACCACTTTCTGCGTGCGCCCCTTGTCGTCGGTCAGGGCCAACAGGATGTCGGGCATTAGGTGGGCGACACGGTTGTCGCCCAGGTAGATGCCATAGTGGGTCAGATGGGTCCGCGGCACCTCCAGCACGTCGCCGCGGAGGAAAGAGTTGATCTCGTAGAAATCGCTCTGCTCTTTGTCTTCGCCAGGGCAGTCGGAGCCGAAGAGCCTGAAGTTAGAGATGAGGAACAGCTTCTCCAGCAGCAGGGACACCACCTCCAGCATCGGGTTCTTCATCCTGCAAGGCGAGTCGGGTGGCGCGGCCGCTGCCCCGGCACGGGCCGGGCAGAGAGCTCTGGGGCAGGGGCGTGACGCTGCGGCTCACCTGCAGGCTGGGGGCCCAGCAAGGTACGGCGACTGCTGAGGGCCAGGGGGAGAAGCTGGGAGACACTCTGCCAACTGGCCCTGGGGGCCCAGCAGAGGGAGGAATCGGCGGCGCCCGGCTGTAGGGTCTGGGAGGAGCCTGGCAAAGCGCGCACCTGGAGGCAGGGCTGAGGCGCAGGGCCACGCGCCGCGCTGCAGAGTGGCTTTTATCGCGGCCGGGGGCGGGGTGGAACGCCGTCACTGAGCCGGCGGAAGCCCTGATTGGGCGCCGGCGGGGAGTGCGGCGCGGCGGGCTGGGCACAGGACTGTCAGCTCCCTGCCAGGGACCGTGTGGGCTCCGGGCGGCGACCCCTCCCGCCTCCCGCGGCCTCTTGCCCTCGAGACCTAACCACTAGCCACTTTTCCGCGTTGGATTTAGAGGAGCAGAGGCCGAGGGCGTGGCAAGAAGGATCTTGCACCTGTTGGGATGGCGGCGAATTTTGGGCAGAAACTCCCATGGGGGACATCTCTGAGTAGACTAGGAATGGGTACCCGGACCTCGGCTCTCTGGAGTTCGCATTCACTCTGCCTAGTGTGTGCTCCTGGATAGTCTGCGGATTCTTTCCTAGGAGGAGCTCCCTCCTTTATAAGTGCCCCCCACCCCGGGCTTTCGGCGGGTGCGTGGGTGAGGTCGCCCCACTGATTGGAACACTGGGATCCTCCGCGCTCGGAGCACCAGGGACGGTTGAGCTCGCGGCTCCCAACCGTCCCCAAGAAAAACGGCAGGCGGGCCACGGAGCAGGCTTCGTGTTTCTGTCTCAGGGGCATGGACCCGCTTTGTAGTCACCCGCTGAAAGCTCAAGCCGCCCTGTGGTGACCACGGAAGGCAAACACTTGGAGGAGGCGCTGCAGTCCCGACCCTGAGCCTGCAACCCGGCCCGCGGCTCCATGGCCGCGGGAAGTGTCCGGGCGCTGCTGGGCGGTGGAGCACCCATCACTGGGTGCTGGGCGGGAACGCTGCGGGCTGTCACACTGTGTAAATACTGAAATTCCGCGGACAAAGGAAGCAGCGGAGAGGAGAGCCTCAGTGGGTGTTCAGAACTAGCAGATTCTGCGCCCTTAGGGCGGGGCCGGGAGGACAGGAGAGAGTTGGCTGCAGGTGGTGGGTGAAGGGACGGTGGTCTTAGTGGACTGGCACTGTGGACCCGGTGGCTGGCTGCCATTATTCCCCCGGGCGGCCTCTGCTCTCATCCGCTTCCCACTGTCCACGCTCTGTCCCTGTCGCCCACTCCCAGTGACTTTTGTCCGTTTCACAAAGGATTGTGAACCACATCGTAGTCTTAGCAAAGTCCCCCAAATGAACTGAATGGGGAAGGTGGGGAGGAGAGAAAAGCAGTGGACATGGAGGTCGCAAAACCCATGCATTTCTTCAGTTTTCAAAGCAGGTACCTGGTGGTTTGCAGAACTGGCCAGACACCCCTCCACAAGGGCATTGGCTTGCTTAGAATCCAGGTCTCTCTGTAGCCATCACTGAGGAAGGCATGGACCTCCCATTAGTCCTTCTGCCTCCATCCATTCATTTATTGAACACTGCCAGAGGCCAGGTGCTATGTCCAGCCCTGGAAATGCAAAATAATCCTAAATGTGGATCCCACACCCTTTCTTTGTCATTGGGATTTCATTTCCCTACTTGTCTAGTGCAAGGGGTTCCAATTTCTAAAACCAGTGTATTTACTGGGACTTTCATAAAGGCTAGCTGAAGTGCTGGTTAATACTTCCCCCTCTCCAGGAAGGCCCAGCACCTATGTCAGGGAGTCCTATACCATCCTTAGGCACTTGAATCTGAGTGCCCAAAGGCACACAGGCAGAAGCAGAGAGCCTGGGCACAGATCCCAGCTGTGGTTTTCTAAAATACATGGCCTAAAACTCTTTTCTTCTTGTGGATGATTTTGTTGTTCTGAGATTTTTCTGTTTACAACGTCATCAGGGTCATTAATAATCTTAGCATTTGTTTATCTTCTGGACTGGCCATCCATGTTTAGTTCCTGTATATACGCTCTGGTCCGGCCCCTAGACTAGGAACAGGGGCCCTAACTAACTCTAAGGAGGTGAGGAAAATCTTTTGTGGAATTCTGTCTGGAGGCAGAGGAAGAAGAGCAGCCACCTTTTCATGCAGCTTCCTGGCCAAGTGTCATGCAGAGTGTTAGGCCAGTAGGAACCAGTCACCTCCGGGGAGGCCTTTTTCTCCTTATTAGCACCTTATTAAGAAGACCCCATTCCTGCCTTTGTTCTTCAGAAAGATTAAAAGACTGCAAGTTCAGCTGGAAATTCTTGTTGTTGTGTCAGTCATAAAATAAGAACACTGAGCAAAACAAATTAGCATCGTGAAGAATTGTCAGCCAGATAAATACAGCTTCATGTAAAAATACAACCGGTTGAGGCAGCTGTGGTATAGAGAAAGGAGGCAGCCGTTAAAGGCTGGGTGCTAAAATTTGCAGCTCCACATACTCAGACTAAGTCACTGGTCACCTTTTGTAAAATGACAATATTTCAGAGGGCTGTTTGGAGGATTGGATGGAATCAGATCTATTGCAGCATTGTATGACATTCATAATATGCATCATCTGTAGTATCATTGGTGGTATTCAGAGAAACTAAAGTGGAAGGGCCTTTTCCTTTCTACCTTGACAGTGCAGTCACCCTAGAATGTGCTGTAGACAAAGGACACACTTTACTCACAGGGCCCTTCTGACTGCTGGGCACAGAGCCACAGTGATGAGCAGAGGAAAGCAGGCACATGTCTGGGGTTGAGCAGAGCTGCAGGAATGGCCTGAGACCTCCCTCTGCAGTCAGAAGGCAACAGCACAGAGGAGTGACTTGCAGGAGTGGGGAGGTCTGCAGTCAGAAGGCAGCAGCCCAGAGGAGTGACTGGCAGGAAGGGGGAGAGGAGTGATTTACAGCCTCCGGCTGCTCACCACCAGTGAAGTTCTGTATAATTCACCCTGTCATTGGTTCACAAATGCCTCTCACAGGTACAAAATAACCACAGAAGCCCACTTTAGAAGTGATAAAGTGACATGATACCAAGCAATGATTTAAAATTTTGAAGGCAGACATTTGGTATGATGGGTAAGATGCCACCTGGGATGATTGTGTTCCATATTGGAGTGCCTGGGTTTGAATTCCTTCTCTGCTGCTGATTGCAGCTGCCAGCTCACGTGCACCTGGGTGGCAGCAGCTGATGGCTCAAGTAGTTGGGTCCCTGCCAACCCTGTGGGAGGCCTGGCCTGAGTTTCCGGCTTCTGACTTTGGCCAGTGCCAGCCCCATCTGTTTGGAGCATTTGGGTAGTGAACCAGCATTTGGGAGCATCTGTCTGTCTGTCCCTGTCTCTTTGTCTCTCTGTCTCTGCCACAATTAAAAAAAATTTAAAAATTTATTTTAAAAATTGAGATACTCATCAAATATAAAGCACATTTTACTGTAAAACCTGTATAAGTGAGAAGCTATGTTACTTCTTAGTAACTTGGAACAGATAGAATAGCTTTTTATGATTTCATCTTGTTTCCTTTTGATTGTAATTTATCATGATGATACAATGATAAATGTGAAGATTGGATGACCCAGGATTGTTACCAAAAGCCTATGTGACAAGAGCTTTTTGCTATATTTTCAAAACACAATTTCGGCACCACTGTATCCATTTAGAATACATACAGGGAGAGCAGGCATTGCTATGTCCAAATAGAGCAGCCTTGGCAAGCACCAGTGATCAGTGCCAAGTTGTTTGTATTTCAAAAATCCTTTCTGAATACAGACACTGCAAGGGTACGACAGGTACCTGAAAGCAGAACCTCTCTCGCTCTCTCACTCGCTCTCTTTCTCTCTCTCTCTCTCTCTTAATACCAGGCTTCACTTTAGGTATCTGAGGTTCTATGAGGTTGCTGACTTTTTTTTTTTTTAAGATTTATTTTATTTGAAAGAGTTACAGAGAGGCAGAGGCAGAGGCAGAGAGAGAGAGAGAGAGAGAGAGAGAGAGAGAGAGGTCTTCCATCCGATGGTTCTCCATCTTCTAAACCAAATCCAAAAGACAACCAGAAGCCCAGTGTGACAAGGAAATAAAAAAAGTCTTCATGTAAGACTAATTGCACACCTTGTTTTGTTAACACACAAAGTGTTGAGAATCTCAAGTTGGATTGGTTTGAAGAGCATGAGGTGAATTTGACCAGATGATGAATGCCAGTATGAAATCTGGAATTGTAAGTACAAAATGCATAGAGACAACATCAAAATTATAGACATAATTTCCTTGAATGTGGTTTAAGAAATATGGGCCATTGAAAATAAGAATAGATTTTGTCTTAACTAGAGATAAATGATGGGATGTGGAATAGAGTTTCCATTTTCAGGTTCATTAAATGTATAAGGCTGTAGGACAGGTAATATATAAAACTTCCATGACTTTATTTATATATACATTAGAAGGAAATCAGGTGTGATTGTAGTTCCTCCCTGTATTGTTTGAGCAGCAGGAACTTAATGCTGATATAAAGTTCCATGTTGTTAACGTACCACTGTTCTCTCTCTTTTTTAAAAGATTTTATTTGATAAGTAGAGTTACAGCCTCTGGCTGCTCACCACCAGTGAAGTTCTGTATAATTCACCCTGTCATTGGTTCACAAATGCCTCTCACAGGTACAAAATAACCACAGAAACCCACTTTAGAAGTGATAAAGTGACATGATACCAAGCAATGATTTAAAATTTTGAAGGCAGACATTTGGTATGATGGGTATGAGAGGGAGAGACAGAAAAGTCTTCCATCCGATGGTTCACTCCCCAAGTGACCACAATGGTTGGAGCTGGGCCAATCCAAAGCCAGGAGCCAGGAGCCAGCAGCTTCCTCCAGGTCTCCCATGCAGATGCCTGGGCACAAGTGCTTGG